GTGTGTGTGTGTGTGTGCGTGTGCGTGTAGAATAAGCAGAGGGATGCCCGGGGTGGTGTATCGTACCGGGATCATCGACAATGATCGATCCAAAGCCGATGTACACGACAGGCAGCCGGGCCGGGTTGTCACGATCCAAGAAGGACACTAGGCTGCTCGGGGGCACCCAGTCCGGGTTTTCTAGCGTCATGAACCCCCTAGGAGGAGGTGGCAATGGGGTGGTCAGTTGGCTGGGCGGCTGACGAACTGGCTGGCTGACTGGCTGGCGGGATATTTTTGGTGGGACTATCCTGCAATAGACGTGGGTGCCAGCATGCCAGGAGAAAGCGCCGAAGGCCCCGGGTGTGTGTGTGTGGGAGGGGGGAGGGGGGAACATTTGTGCATGGAAGAGGCCGAAGGGAGGGGGCAGGGGAGGGGGAGAGAGAAAAAAAGAGAGAAAGGGGCCTCAAGCCCCAGCTGGCGGACGTACACCATGTGGATGTTGGACTTCCAGTCGATCGGCCGGGGGATGACATTCGAGCTGAACAGGTAGACGGTGGGGATTTGCGAATCATTGAAGGACGGCAGGTAGTGAAGGCCGAGGGTGTCCTGACGCCAGCGATTGATCATGGGCATGGTGGCCAGCCAGAGGCCGCGGCTCACAAATTCGTAGGTCATCATGTTCATGAAGCTCGAGGTGTAGGAGAAAAGTTGACTGAAGAGATTCCGCCGGGCTGGAGCCGACAGCGCACCGGACGTCGCGGCCCGAGGGGAAGTGACCGCTCGGCCGTCTTGCCCGTTGGCGGTGGCTTCGTCCGAAGCCGTGTCGACAAGCAGCTCCGAGGGAGACTCCTCCGACGAGTCGGCCGAGGCCGCGCGCTCCAAGTCCTCCTGGCTGCTGCTGCTGCTGCTGCTGCTGGCGGCCTCTCCAGTGGGGGAAGCCAGAGTGGAAGACTTTCCGTCGGCCCGGGCACAGCAGGGAAGGCTGCCGGTCGGGGGGAGGACAGTGTCGGTGAAGTCGTTGTCCGCCTCGCCGACATTTGGCAATGGCGACACGAAGGGATGCGGGAAGGCGCGTGTCGAGGACCAGGGGAAGGGGAAGGCATAGAGGAAGGGAATGGCTGGCGAGGCAGGGGGAGGGGGGGGGGGGGGGGGAGGGAGGAACCCGGGCAAAAGACACCAGGGTTAGGGCAAGGAGGTGCTTCAGGGAGGAGGGCCACAGGTGTGGAGAACCAAGGAGAGGGAGTTGCAACGCACCCAAAGCCTCGGCGATGTGCGGTCCACAGAGGGCGCTTTGCGTGGCCACCAACAGATCGGCGCCCTGGCAGGCCAGGTAGGCCGTCCGGAGAAGGTCCTCCAGGAAGCCGGAGAACTGCACCAGGTGTGGACGTGGGCCCATGCGATGGGCGGGAGTCAGAGAAAGGGGAGCGACAGGAGCAAGACAGGGTGGCATGCCGAGGGTGAGGAAAATAGAGGGAACGAGAGAGAGAGGAAGAGAGAGAGAGAGAAAGACAGAGAGAGAGAAAGGGCAGAAAGAGGGACGGTACCTTGGCCAGAGCATCATAGAGGAAGCGCGGCGTGAAGTTTCCATGGGAGATGCAGAATTGCTGGAAGAAGAGATAGGGGGATTAATACCGGGCACACAATCACTGCCGGCAGGGCGGGAGGGGGGGGGAGGAAGGGAGAAGGGGCAGATGTAGAAGGGATACGGGCCGCAAGAAGGACGCACCATCAGCTCGGAGGGGTTGCCTGCCACGTAACGGAAGCCGATGCCATAAGACTCGACAAAGTCCTTGTACTCGCCATGGGTGGCAATTCGTACATCCTTGT